AGACTCTAAGCTGCAGACAGCGATCAATCAGGTCGAGGACTGCAGCTCAAGAACTCAGTCTGTTGCTGATTCTTGCAGGGTTTAGGGTCAACAGAACTGAGCTGCACACCTGGCGAGTTCTCTACGGATCTTCATACCGTCCAACTAGCCTTTGCGCAGCTTGGGGCAGCACATAAGCTGCCCATTCCATGAAGCTTTCGTAGTTTCGCCTGGCTTTACGAGCGCGACTGCAGCTGCTCATGCGGGGTTGTGTGCTACTGGGCTTCCATGTCAAGGACTTTCACTTACAGACAACTACATAAGTTTAACTTATGCTGTTTCCAGGTTCATTCTAGCCTGCGAAGCTTCGAAACATAATATCTACAGCATTCTCGCTGCAATGGTGGATCTTGGCAAGATATGAGGAGCGAGCAGACAAACTCGATGGAGCCACGGACGCTTGCTCTTGCGTATCTTCGCGATTGTTGCCGAGGGATTCCTAAGGCTGAGCTTGGGCTTCGCGTGCCGAGGGTACTTGGCGATTCTAGAGTCCAGAGGATCACAGTCCAAGCTGCAGTTCCTCCATGATGTGCAAAGCACTGTCACCTCAGTAGAGACTCAGCAGCTCAAGTCTTGGCGACGCGAGAGAAAGAGCTTGCGGAGATAATCAACGCGACTTGGGCAGTTAAGGCTCAGAGCATGGCTGAAATTACACCTCAGAGCAACCTAGAACATCCTACTTTTCGGCACCGGCTGTCCATGCCGACATCTAGCGCATGTCGGTACTACGATGGGAATTCGACCGGCCGATGCTGAATCGCGCTTGGCTTCAATCTGGAAAGGGACCTATGTTCATCCTGCATGACATCCTAAAGGGCGCCAGCCAGCGGTACCAGTCCCGGAAGGTCTGAAGGGCCCTAAACCCTGTGCCCAGAACGTCCATGAGATCCATGAGCAGCTCGTAAGCTTGCGACGAACGGCTTGGCGTTGCTGGTTCAGCTCCTCCTTGGACATGCTCGACACGCCGAAGGTACCTCTGGCTGAGGGACAAAAATCGGATGGAGGACTCTACTCCAATCAAAGAGAAATCATCTTCAGTACGACGTTTCTAGAGGGCCGTGACGCGAGTGGCCCAGTCAGTGCGTTCCAAGTTTTCCTGTAAATGGACTCCTAAGTCAATAAGATACCCCCTGAAATTTTGGCGAAAGTCCCATGCAGTTACGCCCAGAGTAGAAAAGACTGCTTGGACAAAAACCCTCTCGGCGCACGGAGCACATACTTCTCTTTAGCACTGCGCACCGGGGGTGCCTGCGCAGCCGGGAGCGGTTCGTCCTGCCCACTTCCAGAAGGAAACCCCGCAGTGCGCTTCGGCTGTGTCTCCGTGATCAGGTTCGGGAGGACGAGGATAGAGCTGAACAGAAAAGTTCGGGAGCTGATCTTGAGAGAATCTGCCCGGAAGAGGCCCTTCGACTCAAAGTGAAAACTTGTCATCGGCTGCAAACTGCACCTATATGACCCTTACCGTACAGAACTTGCCTGCTGGCAGAACACACGATTCTCCCCCAGGGTTCAACCGCGCTCCCTCTCTCACCTCCCTGTCATGCCTATCCCACATTGCTTTGCTTCTCCCTCCCGCTTTCTCCCTCCATCACTCGCATGAAGCAAGAGAAGGAAGTGAAAAGAACGTACTGCAACAAGCAGCAGCATGGAATCATTAAGAATCTAAGAATCTAACGCGGGCCTTGTTGTTTGGGATTTCAGAGATCTGGGTCAGCTTATGATGCAGGGCAGTGGAAATCTTGTCGGTCGAATGGAAGGGCTTCCACCAAAGGGAGGGAAGGCTTGGGCTGTAGGCTTTGATGGCTTTGGCTGCATCCAGCGAAGAATTCAGGGCTGAAGCGCGCACGGTTTGGAATCGGATACCGACCTCCGGTGTGACAGCTGGGAAGCTTGTCTCCAGTCTGCTGCACCTGAGGATTGGGTCGAAGCAATCGCAACGGGCGGCCTTTCTTCAAAAGGCTGAGAGGCAGGCGCTGGTGTCGGCAGAGAAGACGGGAATTCGCGTCTGCACTTGTACTTCTGCAGGAGTCTAGGAGCCTTTGAGGACCGGACCGGGCTTCGCAACGACGGCACCACGCATCTTCTCACGGACTCATTTTGGAGTCTTGGAGGCTACGCATTCTAGGCCCCATCAGAGGCACCGAGCTGCAAGGAGTCTGTGCTCCACTAACTACTTACGAGGCATCATAGCACAAATGGTGGAGCTTCGTGTAAGATGAGCTGATCCCGGCCTCCTGATCGGAACCGGGATCGACCTGCAAGTCGCTCAGCACTTGAGAAGCCTCAGAGTTGTTGAAGGCGGACCAGGACAAGGCCTGGTCTCGCCTGGGCAGGAACTCGAAGCATCCTCCCACCTGCCATTGGAGTCTCGAAGGGCTCTGCATGGCACACCTCACATTGCTGACGGGCCTCATGCTTTTCATGCCCCATGCTGCGGGCATAGATGCGGCATAGCCCGGTGCAGGCTGCAGCCGCCGAAAGCCAACAAAGCTGACTTCAAGACCCGTTTTACGACGCTTTTCTTTGGGGCAAGCAGTGCGAGCAGTTTCATTTCTCTGTGCCTTGCGTTGCTCGCATCTCGTACGACCTAGGACCTAGGAAGCCGCGTCAAAGGGGCTGCTATCGGCTGCCGAAAGGCACAGGCCGGCGGGCTTAGGCGACTGGACCCCGAATGCTACATGTGTAAGCTTTCAGCTTCCTTGAAGATGCTGCATCAAGGCACGGCCAAGCTCAGCAACATCGACATGTGCTGCCGATATGACTAGCAGTGCGCATTGCTGACAGCACATGCTGAATGCAAATTGCCTTGATGCTCGTGTTGAATCATGATTGAAGGGCCATTCGAGAAGCCGGCTGACATTTTAAGCTGGGCGGAAGCCTCTGTCTAAGCTGAGCATGTTGAGTCCTTCATGGATACGAGTGCCCATGTTCTTGCTAGGAGAAACACTGAGGATGTAGCAACCCATTGATTCCAAAAGGGCACGGCCGCACGGCGAATGAAGGAGCCATAAAGAGCTTCTGCATGGCTTTGCCATGCATATGCCAACAGCGTTGCTTTCCCGCTATGGCACGTATGTGTCGCCAAAATTGACCTGGCCTGCTCCCGGTAAATATTCAGTATTCACTTGCTCCCCAACAACAATGTGCTAGGAGAGGGGTCAGCTAGGCCCAAGCCAGGTGCGCATCTTAGCTAAACTAAACTTTCACAGAAGATGATTTCTCCTCCTGGGGTTCTTCCTGTAACAGGATGGCCCCTGTAGCAACTTCTGCTAACTAACATCCTCGACAGTATATCTGCTTCTGCCGAAACGCACTGGGATCCTAGTGAAAGCCCGAAGGGTCCAAGGCACTCGATAATAGAATGCCTTGATCTGCCTTGCCTGCTGCTCCAACCTCACAATTATGGAGGCAGCGAGGATTCTGGTTTCCCACGAAGCCCATTTGTGACATTGGCTATGGAGGGAGGGTTACGGCAGTCTGAAAATTGCCGACTTGGTACGAGCACCTGGCCTGCCTGGGTGTAGAGGTCAGCACCGGAGACGGAGAACAAGACCAACAAAGAGGGGGGTCGCTCGCGGTGCCCAAGGTGATGTATGTCTGAATGCCTGGCGGGCATTTGTTCTGAGCGCAGTCTACCGCGTCCTCCGTGGCTGTGCGGACAACGACGTCGTCCTCAGTCCACAACGGAACAGCTTCTACGACAAAGACCGAAACACTGCCAAACTTTCTTTTGCTTGGCTCCGTGGCCGACCACGATCTATCACTTCTTCAACCGCTGTTTTCACCCTAAATCTGTCCAAGGTGCATCAAAGAACTGGCATCCACAGCAAAGGAAGCGTGCAGCGAGTTGAACTTCAGCACCTGCGTTGAAGGAGACATTCAACGGGTCCACTACCAAGTTCGTCATGTTGATATCAACCACGGTCCTCCTGAGCATCATTGCACCAATGGCGATGACATCACCCACGCCGAAAGGCGACACGTCATCCACAGGAATCTGAGTTGCGCCAACCGGAAGTTCCTCCGCTACCTCTGCCGTCGTCGGGACGACGGGATCGGGTGCCGTAGTGGTCGTGGTCGTCACGGCGATAGTTGTAGTTGGAGTTGTAGTCGTGGATATCGTCGTCGTAATGTTCTCAGTGGTGGCTTTGGTGGTGGTGGTGGTGGTG